TAAGAAATGGCTAACAAATAAAACATTTACCAATAGAGCAATATATGAAAGGAAAAACGGAGAAGTACGCAATCAAATAAAAAAAAAACAAAAAACAATTTCTGGGAACAAAAATGTCTCCAAATTGAAAATTTAATTGGTAGTTCTCAGACTACGGAAGCATGGAGAACTATCACTAAACTATAGAAAAACACCCATAACTCCTTAAGCAACTTATTTTCTATAGAAAAGTGGAAAAATCACTATAACAATTTATTCCAGTCCAGATTGGAATATATGGGAGAAGAATACAGTATGGAGAGACAAACAAATAGTAACAACGTTAATACTACTAACAACGAGGTCCGTACTGAAGTACCATCTGAATGGAAAACCGCTCACCAAGTGTTCATATTTAAAAAGGGTAATCGAAAAGATCCCAACTGCTACAGAGGATTAAGTGTTCTAATCTAAGATTTTGTTTGGAAAAATAATAAATGGAAAAATACAAGATGATGTAGGACATCTGATTAGCGAAGACCAAAGTGGATTTACGCCCGGTAGATCTTGCACTGATAACTTGTTTATACTCGAACAATTAATAGAAAGAAGACTAGCGGTTGGTGCCGAAGTACATCTAGCCTTCATCGACCTAAAAAAAGCGTATGATACAGTTCCAAAATTTAAACTGTGGCAAGCTTTACAACAACTCGGCATTAATCAATACCTTTTAGAAATAATCACAGGAAGTATACAGGATAACACTCATTACCTAAAAATCGGAAATAGACTATCACAGCCAATAAAAGTAACTAAGGGACTAAGACAAGGATGTAGTATGTCACCCTTACTGCTTAGTTTATATATTGAGGCAACCCTCCAAAATTGGAAAAACCACTGCCAAGGAATGGGAATCCCCATAGGAAATGACGTACTGTTCTCCCTGAACTTTGCAGATGACCAAGTCGTCCAGCTCAAGATTCTAATGATATAGAATTTATCATAAAGCGTCTATATAGGGAATATGTAAAATGGGGGTTACAAGTCAGTATAAAGAAAACATAATATTTAGTTACCAATTCAGATGCAAGGTTTGAAGTGTTGATAGATAAGGACATGGAAATCAAAAGTGGGTAAATTTAAATATTTAGGCTCACTCATTAATAGGAACGGCTTGGGGGAAACCGAAATTAAACACCGAAGTAATCAGGGATGTAAAATTGTAGGATGTCTGAACTCATTATGGTGGCATCGCAACATTTCCAAAAGTAACAAAAAAAGACTAGGGCAAACGATGGTTGAATCAGTTCTTTGTTATGGCTCTGAAGTATGGACAATTTATGCAGATCTGAAGAGAAGATTGTTGGCAGTTGAAATGGATTATTTGAGAGGAAGTGCTAAAATAATAAAGCTGGAAAGAAAAAACAACGAATCTATAAGAAACAACATGAATGCTACAGAGACGGTCATTGACAGAATAGAAAGAAGAGGTTTAAAATGGTTTGGACAGCTATTCAGAATGCCTGACGAACATTGGCCTTAAAAATTTCACAGATGAAAGCCCCCTGGAAGAAGAAAAATAGGTAGACCTCGAAGCTCATGGAACGACGAATTAGAAGAGCGATGGAATCGATAGGTTTGGAGGAAGAGCATGCCTTGGACTGGGAAGATTAGCGGAGGAGAACGGGAATATGGCGATAGCCGTCTCCAAAATGTATTATATTTACAAGTTGGATCCTGTAATATGTATATGATTATTGTTGAGAATATGTTATTGATGCTTAAAAGTGATATTTATAATCAAACTATAAAAAAAAGTACTTACAACATTTAACAAAACACTGTAAACTTTTTTGATATATCATTTTTAACTATTTAAATTTATACTTTTTCTATTAACATTCATCATACAGAGCTTTAATTAACCGTCAAGCAATTTAAACTTTCTATTAGTATTGAATACGTTTTCATCCCTTTTATTTATTCCATGGTGTTTATTATTGTTCATGTGAAAAGTAAAAAAAAATGGCTTCATTTACTTGAGATCATTGTTTGTCCTACCCCCTGTCGAGCCTGAACTAAATTACAGGTAAACAATCGGACGGTTGAGCCTGTTTATTCTATCTATAGCGCCGTTATGTTCTGAATATCAAGTTGGTGAAGAATTCAAATTATACAGAATGTCCACAAATGTTTTTTATAAAATATTTCATGTTGATGCAAATATTTCTTCTGCCAGCTAACTGAAAATTAATTAGGTTTAATTTACAACACTATATATTCTTATTGTCGATATCTTTTATCAGTATTGGTAATAAGAGCCTGCTATATTCTATTCATGAGTGCTGTATATATATTTTCTTCATTAAGTAGAATAAGGCTGATCCCTTGATTTTCCTCTTTTTGCTGTTTATTCTTTTTATTATCACTATTGGAGCTTTCCATTGCACAATTCCAGGCATGTTTGGATATCTAGGATATGAAAGTCTCTATTTTTGATGGAAAAAGAAAACGATTCACCAAATTTCTGAATGCGTTAATTACAAAGGACTCTGTTGCGTACAATAAGTGGATACCGTCCTTTAATTTGACCGATCAAATGCCTTCTTAATGTCCACGAATCATAGATATGCCAGATTCAGAAAAAATAGATCGACCGTAGATCAGATTTTTACTCTCAGGCAGAACCATTTATAATCTCTTCATAGATTTCCGACAAGCATACGATAGCATTAAAAGGGATCAGATGTGGAATGCAATGGCAGAACTTTCAGTTCCAAAAAACTTACCCAGCTCGTTAAAGTTTGTGTAAATGGCTGTAGATCTAAAGTGCGGATAGGTAACAAGCTCTCAGAGTCGTTTGAAATAAAGAATGGACTGAAACAAGGAGACGCGCTGTCACCTCTTCTTTTTAATATATTCCTGGAAAAAGTAGTAAGAACCGCACAAATTAGAACAGAACTACTGACAGTAAATGGACCAAAATTACTACTAGCATACGCGGATGACATTGTAGGAAATACCGTCACCAATGTAAAAGAAACCTTCAATAAATTGGAGAGAGAGGCAAAAAATACCGGTCTAAGGGTCAATGAAGAGAAAACCAAATATATGTGCAATAACAGACAAAAGAGACGAGATAGAATAGGACAAAATGTAACAATAGACCCCTATAACTTTGAAAGAGTGGAGAGTTTTAAATATCTCGGAGCGACTATCACCACAGATAACGATATCACGGAAGAGATAAAAGGGAGAATTCAGGCAGCAAACAGATGTATGTATAGCCTCCACAACACTATTAAATCCAAGAGCCATTCATGAATTAACACGAACATCAAAAATAAGGATATATAAAACAGTAATTAGACCGGTGCTCATGTATGGGTGTGAGACGTGGACGCTGACAAAAGCAATGGAAAGTAAATTCAGATGCTTTGAGAGAAAAATCCTCAGAAAGATCTTCGGTCCCTATCACGATCCGAATACTAAGCAATACCGAATGAGAACAAATGCCGAGGTCAAACAAATGTATAGTTCTAGCGACGTAGTCCAAGAGATTAAATCCCAACGTCTAAGATGGGCTGACCATGTTCATAGACTCCCTAATAACCGCCTTACCAAGTTAATCTGGGAAAAAGTCCGACAGGGAGAAGGCCCTTAGGACGTCCACGAATGCGATGGAGAGATAATATATGGTCAGATTTGAGAACAATGGGGCTACCCACTGACTTAAACATCATGGACGACCGTTCGAGATGGAAGCAGGTTGTGCAGTCAGCCAAGACCCACCCCGGGTTGTAATGCTACCAAAAGAAGAAGGAACATGGATTTCAAACTATAATGATCAAACAACCGAAATAAGAGCTAGGATAGAAATAGCAAGAAATGCGTTTGTAAAAATGAAAACAATTCTCTGCAACAAAGATCTTAGATTAGAACTGAGAGTAAGAGCACTGAGATGCTACGTGTTTTCGATACTGCAATATGGACTTGAAAGCTGGACATTGAAGCAAGAACACATAAATAAGTTACAGTTCTTTGAAATGTGGTGTTACAAGAGGATGCTTAGAATAGCATGGACACAGAAGAAAACTAACAAGGAAGTATTGCGAGAAATGGGCAAAGAATGCAAAATAATAAACACGATAAAAGTAAGAAAGTTACAATATCTGGGACACGTAATGAGGGTACAGCGATATGAACTGCTAAGGCTGATAATACATGGAAAAAAAAGAGGAAGAAGTATAGGAAGAAGGAGAGTGTCATGGTTGAAGAATTTAAGGGACTGGTTTAAATGCAGTTCTATAGAACTCTTTAGAGCAGCAGTAGATAAAGTAAAGATAGTGATGATGATATCTAACCTCCGATTGGGAGACGGCACTTAAAGAAGAAGCCTCAGACTCGGAGATACTAGGTTAACGCATGATTACTTAATTAAAAAGTGCGAACCGCCGCGATGTGAAACGTGTAATACAACACTAACAATAATGCCCATACTATCTGAATGCCCGCTAACAATCAACAACGAAATAACAAGATACCAGAAACACTTCTAGAAGCTCTAGGTGCAGACTTTAACTTTAACAATACTCCGAATTTCTTGAGAGACATTAATAATTACCACAATATTTAATAAACCAAATTGTAATGCAGTAACTGTACCTAATGTAATCCATTAATTTTTCGCTAATGGTCAATTGGTCGATGCGATTTTCTAAATAAAAAAAATAATCTTACTCTAGTACAGAATTATGATTGATGAACAAAAATGATTAATTTTACCGACTTAAACAGTAACTCTTTTCATTGTCGATTAATTAACGATTATAGTTTTTATTGACATACAATTACAAGTAATATTCTTGACCACATTTATTGAAAATTATACTTTTCGCCACGTTTTGTGGAGCTCTACTCTTCGTTGTCACCAGCGCATCGATTTATTTCATGTATAGGTAAACTTGAAAGATATAAAGATTTTTTCTGTAATAATGATTAATAATTATTATTTGTTTTAGGGTCTGTTGGTGGCTATACTTTTCTGCTTTTGCAATGGCGAGGTAAGTTTAATCTTGTAGTTTCTCCGCCTTCGTTTAATATGTATTAAAAAAATTTATAGATAAAATAACAGTATTATTTATAAAAAATTAATGATGACTAGAAGATGAAAATTCACTGGAAAACGAGCAACAAATCTATAGAGTTCATGGAGGTTTGTAAAACCATAAAAACACAAAATATGAGACAAGAAAAATGAAAAAAACTAACTGGTTATGTTCATATTCTACTTAATTAAATAATAGATGAATAAAAGAACAAAACAACTCACTCTTTAATATTCTGTATATTACATTTTGTTCTGAACTCTTTACTCCTTGTTCGGTCTCTCAGTTTGTTTCCTGGGATTCTTCCCAGGAAATAACACAACATCTTTAATATTTTTGTTAAAGAGGCTTAGAAGAGAATGTTTGCAATTATCGTCGAGCAGTTTGATTATTTCGCTTAGAATTTCATCTGGACCGGTGGCTTTCCTATTCTTTGATAGCTTTATAGCTCTTTCCAGTTCATCGAGTGTTATGTTTGGATCAGTCGATATATTTTTGATTTGAATTTCTGTTCTATCGTCATCAAACAGCTCCTTAATATATCCTTCCACCTCTCTAATCTGTCTTGTTCATTGACTATAATATTTCCTTGTTTATCAAGTAAACTACGATAATATGCCTATAAAAATACCAACGAAAAAATGACAGTTTTGACCGTGAGGTAGGGCAAAGGTGAATGACGGGTTAAAATTGTGCCGAATTTTATTTTGTAGTAATATAGAATGTGAAAAAATGAAAAAAAAAAACTAACACGAATGAAAGATTTTTGCCGTGGGGGTACCGTTTATTTTTGGCAACAAAAATGTTTTATCAAATTGTTCTATCACACATGAACAAATTTTATACTGTCTTATTTGTAGTACTGATTCTTATTATTTAATATTAACAGGTCCAAGCACAGATCAGGAGGAAGTGGAGTAACGTGCAAACGTTCAGACCGAGAGCAAATTCTTGCAGCGCTACTACAATGTCGGTACGTAAGGTACTATTCATCTGATTTACTAATATTACTAACTTTTAATAAATTAATCTTTTATGTAGTTTTATAAAATTGCTTTATTGATACATGCTTCGAATAGGTAGTTATTTATGTTAAGATAGTTGAAGGGAATAGAAGCGCTGTTTATGTTACCTAGGTGTATATCACTATCTTTAAATTATCTATCAGGAACTCGCTTGAAATGTTCAGATCACGATAATTGTGACTTCCTATCTAAGTTGTCTAATGTCAGAAGTCACTTTAATATTTCCGTTAAAACCAGGAGCCATTCTGTCTCCTGCCGTTGCCTTCAATGTAGCTTTGAAATAATTTTTAAACGTTTATCCTTTATTTAGTACAGTGATTCTCAACCTGTGGGGCGCGCCCCGTAGGGGGGCGCGGTATTATTAATGGAAGGGCGTGAGCTTATGCGAAAAAAACATCAACAACATTGACTAATTTACTAAAATCAAAGCAAAACAAAATTCTTACAAAATAAAAAATAAAATACACATGAACACTGATATAACAGGTATAATTATAAAGAGCACTAAACACTAAATTATGAGCAAGTTTAATAATAAATCAGTGACTTTCTTGAGCTTTTTAGTAGAGCAAAGTTTATTGGAACGGGGTGTAATATTATAAACAGACGTTCTCAGTTCTTTTTCTATATTTAGCTGTGATCTATATTTGCTCTTCAAAGCAGCCACCGCAGAAATTCCTGTTTCGCAAAAGTAGGATGTTCAAAACGGCAATAGTATATGGAACGCTCTGGTTTTCAGTGCAGAAAAGTCATCATTTACTCCTGCCCAAAATTCAAAGAGGGATATATTATTAAACTGTTACTTAATTTTATCATTTGCTGTGAAGTCAATTAAGGTTTCTTCTTCGGCAGTAGAGAGCCATTTCCATTTCGATTCGATTATTGGAATAGGACGTAAATATAGCTGGGTTAGTCTTTGAATAACGTTAAGTTTTAGTCTTCCTTGTGGAAGTAGCTTATATGGGTCGGAATGCCGTAGTTTGAATAAAATCTCTCCGTCAGAACGATATTCTAGAGCTCGGAGGTCAGTCACAATTGGATCTCCCGTCTTCTTTCCGGATCGCAGTGACTGAATATTACTTCTCAAAATTTAAAAAAGCTGTGGTCAAAAACTTTAATATTATAAGGTTGTTTTGGCCGCGCATTTCTCATTTTGATCTATGTAGTCACTAGGAGAATTTACGGAAGGTACAAAATATTTTTCAAGTTTAGCATGAATGCTGTCGCATTCCATCATTGTATGGCTTTTCTCAAGGAACAACTGTTGGATTAAAATATTTTTCTGAATTTCCTAATCGCTTAAAGCACTAGCTAGTACCTTACTACGATTTGAATAATTACATCCATCGGATATAATTGTAAATTTTTTGTATATATCTAATTTTGATGAAAGAAAATCCACAATACATGATGTAAACTCATTAGAAGATACGCCGTCATTTGATTCATGCCACACATATAATGAAACATCTTTGTTATTCAATACAAAAATTGTAAAATTGTAAAGCTGAAGTTTTTGCTTATAAAACATTCTTGAAGCTTCATTCTTGGGGCAGAGCAAAACACTTTGGAGATCTATAGTCAAGACTAAGTGCGAATCATCAGTTTCAGATTTAGCTGCATTTTTCGCCTGTCTTGCTTCATTTTTCATCACGATATGGTTCTGATATACATCTAAAGCAACTGTTTTTGTTTCGTTCCCGCAACATCGCACTATTTTTTGCGAGGCTTATTTTAATATTTTTATTTTTTAGTACATCCAAGAAAATCGTTCTCGAAACGCTTTTAATTTTATTTTGTTTGCACCACTCTTCATAAACACTTTGCATGTGTGATAAAGACCTAAAAGTCGATTCAACGTATGTGCAACTACAAGAGCTTCTGCAGTAATGACTAGGGATGGGAAAAACCTACCGGTTTTAACCGAAAACCGGTTTTTTTACTTTAAAATAACCGGTTTTGTCGGTTGTTTTTTTGTCCCGGTTATAACCGGTTTTTTATTTTTAAAGTAAAAACCGGTTATTAGGTTTTTACAGTGATTAGTATTAGGTTAGGTATTATTTTGGATCCCACCCAATCATAATTATTATTCTCAAGTAATTATTCCAAACAAAACTTAAATTCAATTTTTATTTTATTTAATACAGAAGCAAAAGCTCACATTAGCCAGAAACAATTAAATTTTATTATAGTATTTCGTTGAAAAAGTATTTGTAATCATAATATTTTTACATAAGAAGTGATCTTTATTATGGGTATTTGACTCTTGACATTGAAAGTGGGTGAATGGCTTTTGCTGATTACCAAAAATAATAACTATGAATATCGAATTACCGATTACGAATACGAATCTACAAGGATTTCCCTACGTTTTCAAAACGATTTATACCCATACCGGAAGTCGTAAATGAGTTAAAAGTAATACATGATAAATTTTTTTTGATGGTAGTAAAAATAAAAGATGAATTGTATTATCCAATTTATTTTTAAGTAAAATATTTATGTTGATATTATTTTCTTTAAATCCCATTTGAAAGAGTCTGGGGAATTTTTTTCTCACAAAACACAAAAAATTGTGTTGCGAATGTAGTATCTCAAACTAAAGTGAATTGTAAATGTAACTTTTTAATCTATTTGATTAAAAAAACCGATAACCGGTTTTTGGAAAAACCGGTTTTTTTGGCGGTTATAACTGCCAGGTTAAACAGTAAGCAAAAAAAAACCGGTATAACCGAAAACCGGTGTTTTGTCAAAAACCGCCATCCCTAGTAATGACTTGGAATCTTAGGAAGTAATTTAAGCCACACTGAAACATTTTCAGTCATTTCTTTATGAGTATTCTTCTTTCTTCCTTCTAGTCTGGGCTTTTTCTTTGATCGAGGAGATGAAACACCTTTATCGCCAATACTTCGCAGTATCAACTTCCCCTGTTCGCACCCATCTTCTGAATGTGTCTTCCCCTAAATTTAATGTATTGATGAAGAACAGCCTACAAACCTTCACTTTTTCCCCATTAGATCTTGGAAAAAATATGTCATGACCTACATTATTCTTTAGCTCTTTCGAATTATTGTCTATCTTTTTGCGGCTTCTGCGGATATGTCTGGTACTTATTAAACCTTTCACAAACGCTTTCTTTTCGGACCAAGTACTGAAATTTCAGCATGTCATAAAGGTGAATTTCTTTCATTTTCAGATATTAGATTACAAAGAAATGATCTATCTGATTTTTTCTAGTGGTAGTGTGGTCACAACGCTGCTTAACCGATCTGGAATTTTTTTTGCAGTCTTGCACTATGTTGCCATTTTCTACCTTTTTGTAGCTAGTGTAAGATAAACCAGAAACTCCTCTCTTTTTGGCTTTAAGTCGTTTCTTACTGATGCGTGAAATGGGTTTATCCAAAAAACTTCAAAGAGAGCCATCACTGTCAGAGTTGGTAATAGATTTACGGTCACCAATTTCTGTCCCTTCTTCTTTCAACAATTTATCTTCTATGACTTGTTTTTCCAAGCCAATTTCCCCGCCTCCATTCTCTACTTCAATCTCCTGGGTGAAAACAGATATATTGTTTGCAAGTTCTAGCTCCACATTGTTTGCTGCTTGCATTTCTTTTTCTTCCGATTTCTCATCTTCATGTTTCTAATTCTTTTGCGATGTCCATTTCCATTACTTCATTTTCTGCAACCTCCATTTCTTTTGTAGAAACATATTCCTTTTCGAATCTCTGGTCCCTTGTATTAGAAACTGGGAATAGAATTTCATAAGTGGTACTAACGACCCATTCCTGCATTCGCCTTGGTTAACCCTAGAAAACGGGACCGTTTTTGCCAAACGTAAATACGGGACTATCGTAAATTTTATTACTTCATAGAAAAAGTCTATATTTTTTACTTTAAAATTTTTATTCATTGTATAAAAAACAATTAAAATTCCTAGTATATCTTACAAAAGCATAAAATTATAAAACAAACATATTTGAGTATTTTTATGAATATACGGTAAAAACATCTCGGTGTTCTCCTCAAATTGGCTTCTTGCACTCCTTGCAATAGTTGATGGTCGTGCGCTTTTTCAAGTCTTCCTCTTCTTTTCTTGTGCCATATTTTTATCATCTCCTTCAGTTATGTTGAGGATTTCCGCTATATCTTGGCGAGTATTTCGATGTATACTTGCAGCGTTGTATCTGTTTAGCATCCATGGTTTTGCAAGACAAAGGCTTAACTTAATCATATATTGATGTCTGGAGACAGATTTTTCGGTTTCTTTAAAATATTTAAAGTATAAATAACGTAAGAATTTATGCTGGCCATATTTATCATTCCATAGAATATGCGTAATAGCTATCTGCCTGTTTTTCTGCTAAAACTCATATTAGAATACATTTGGCCGAAGCTGTCTACATCTGCTTTGGTTTTATTATAGTTATGAAGTATGGATAGCTTGCCGGTTTTTTCTGCGATTTCTGTTTGCTCTTGCATTGTTGAAGGTAATAAAACTACTTTGTTTATCTTTGTTATACACGTATCGACAAAAATGTTTCAAATTACTTGAATGTATGTAAAGGGATCATTTATCTTTCTTCCTTCTCTTGTTTCATTGTTATCAAACATAAGGCAGTTTAGCAGGAATAAAAAGCGATCACAATTCATACAAGATCTGTAAAACTTGCCTGAAATGGTGGCATTAAACATTATGCCTTGCTGATAAATGATTGTCTTTCTTTGCCGCAAAAAAAATTAAAATACCTAATAATGCTTTTAATTCGTCTTTTGTTATTATGCTATCATTCTGATGGCCACTGTATTTTCGGCAATCTATGCACTTGTATATTGTAGAATTATATTAAATATATTATCAGAAAAAAATGCAAAAAATCCAGCGTAGAACAGTTTTTGCAGTCCCTTTAGGACCCGATATAAAATGAACCATGTTCCTAGTAGCTCTTCT